GGGAGGTGGTAAGGATGGGGTGGGGAGGACCTAAGGTTGAAAGGGATAAAAGATGATGCCGTGGAAACGGCCTGGGGGTCAGACCTAGATGCTGAGCTGAAGCTCTGGGAGGTGTTTAAACGAGGGTCCCCTTTTCTGGGGTCCCCCCACAGGCTTACCACAGAGCTGCCAGAGTCACCATGGGGTTGGGGTCCTAAGAGACCCCTCCTCCTCACACACACACTCACCCATTGGCGATGGCTGGCGATGGCTGGCGATGGCTGGGGCTTCCCTGAGGCTGGGGCTCGGGGCCAGGTGCTGACAGCTGAGTGATTTATTGGTGGCTGTGCTCCTCAGCCTGGCTGGCCCAGGACAGGGTCACAGAGAGCAGCTTTGCCTGCACCCCACCATTCTAGGGGCAAGCCACCCCCCCCAGCACTAGGGTCCAGGGCGGGAAGTGGGCACAGTGGATAGAGGGCCTCCCTCTAACCCCCTACAGAGTCTGGGCCCCCCAGCAGGGCTGTCTGGAGCAGTCGGTCCAAGGACCAGGCCTGCACTGGGTGGCATGTGGTTCCCCTCTTTGCCAGGTGCCCAGGTGTGGGTGCAGACACGTGAGAGAGCTCCAGAACAGAGGCCATAAGATGCTGCTGCCACCAAGAAGGCCCGCTGGTGGCTCCCTGCCTAAGGCTGGGCTGCCCTGGGTGGGAGGGCAGCCACACAAAGGGGTAGCAAGAGGTCCACTGTGTTGTGGGTGGGTGATGAGGTCAAAGACAGGTGCAGTCTGCAACCAGGCACTGCCCCATGGAAGGTGGTGGTTGGGCGTCCCTTGGGCTCACAGGGGCTGGGGCCCCATCACGGATGGACGGAGGTGGGAGTGGGGGAGGCCCTGCACTGGGCCCTGCTATGGTCATGGTACCACAGGCCAGAGAGGGCCTTCCAGTTCCTCCCAGCTCACTCCACACTTCAGAAGCACCACCCTCAACAGCCTTCCTGGGTCTATCTGTACTATCCTGGGGACATGAGGTCTATCAGGCCTTATCTGTGCCCAGTGACCACCATGGCCAGGCCTTTGGTGGGTGGGCAGTGTGAGGAGTGAGCAGGCCCCAGGCCCTTCTGAGCCCTGGTCCCTCTGTAGTGACAACAGGCTGGGCTCTGGGCACTGGCCAAAGGCTCTGAAGAGTCCAGCTTCTCTGTGGAGGGCCTGCGTACCCGAGCAGTGCCTGGGGTGTGGGCAGCTGGTGAGATGCCCTCCTGGAGCAGGGTGCACGCCCAGTGGAGGCTGCTGGGCCAGGCAGCACGTGCATGGGTCAAGCCTGTGATTCCTGGCCAGTGTCGGGGTCTGACAACCCCACAGGGGCCAGGAGCCACTGACCGCCCAGCCGGAGGCAGCAGCCCGGCCTGGGAGAAGAGGCTATGGCTCTGCCCCCAACAAAGGGCCTGGACTCTTCTCAGCCAGGACTCCCCTGCCCTCAGCTGGGCCCATCCTTCTGAGGACAGAAGTCCTTGGATCTCAGGGGGTGGGAGACAGATGGCGTCTGGGAGAAGGCCCTGAGAAGGGCCCCCACAGCCCCAGGGCTAGACCCCCTCAGCCCTGTCCTGCTGCCTACTGGCCTTCAGACTTCGTTCCCCAGGCTTTGGGCTGGAGCAGCAGAGGGCCACGGGAGAGCTCCCAGTTGAGAGATGGCCCCCAGAGGCTGAAAGCGTCCCCTTACCTCCTAGCTGGGAGTCCTTAGGGTGCCTGGCGTCCATGTCCTCCTCTAGGACTAGGAGTTCCCTCTGGGCCGACAGAGGCCTGCAGCGGTCAGTCAGTGACCTGTTCCTGGCGTCCCCGCGTCTCTGCCCCACGGGCCAGGTGGACACTCCCACCCACCCTGGAAAAGGCACCTTGGAAGGCAGCGGAGGAGCCCCGAGCCAGAAACTCTGTTTCTGATGTTCCGAACCACAGCCCTGGCTCCCCCGAAACCCTCTTCCCACTGTGACAAACACTCCCATTACGAAGCAGAGACCCACCAGGCCACCCTTCCCAGAAGGAAGCCAGGAGCAGCCAGCTGCCCGGCCCGGACTTCCCTTGGTCGCAGCCAGCACTGACTCAAGGTGCTTTGAGGCCTAGGGGTGGGGGCACAGACCTGGAACCCCACACGGGCCCTGGGAGAGTGGGGTTTGGAGACACGAGGTTCAAGACAGCCATCTGTGGCCGACTAGCAGTGTGTTGCTGGCAGGTGATCGTGTGGTGACAGCGAGTATGTGTGTATGTGAGTGTGTGGGCGGACATGGGTATGAGTGTGTGAGTGTGCTGGCCCATGTACACACTAGGACGTGTGAGTGTGCAAGCCAGGCGCCCCATACAGCTGCTCCCCAGGGGTCCCAGCGCTCCGTCTTAGGGTTGTTTCTGATAGCGGGTTCGGCCCTACGGCCTCCTGTAACTGCCCCTCTGCCCTTCCAGGGGGGCCATGCCATGGCTCCCAGCAACCTAAGGAGTGGGGTGAGTGCTGGGCAGACACTGCTCACCTTCTCCAGGGCCAGGGGCACCCCTTCCTCTGTCTCCGACCCCCCACAGGACCCAGGCCCCTGGGACCCTGGGGCCTCCTCCACCCCCTTCTCCGGGGGATTCTCAACGTGATAAACTGGGGCTGCCGGCTTTGCCAGGGCGGGAGGCTGCGTCAGGACTTGGTGCTCAAAAGCTGCCAGTAAGTGTGGGGGCAGAAAGTGACTGCTAACCCCCCAAACCTGCTGTGTGCCCTTGACTGACCCTGGTCTTGTTGGCCTCAGTCTCCCCATTTGTAAATAGAAAGGCTGACAGACAGGGAGGGACACTTGCTGGCCCGTTTGGTGACCACTCACTGTAAACGTGGCAGGGGCTGTCTGGGGTGGGCACCCCCAGCCTCCTGTGCCACCCCCTCCTCTGCCCCCTCACCCCCTGCCAGTTGCTGCAGGGCAGCTGTCCTTCCTCTCCCTGGTGTCCGGCTGACTCAGCGTGTCCTCTGCCGGAGGCCGTCCCTCCCCCATCAGTGAACAGTGGTGGCCAGCCTGGATGCTGGGGGACTCAGAGGGCTCCCCCCCAGGCCCTGCCCACTGAACCCTGCAGGGCCCAGTGGGGACGCAGGGACACAGCCAGGTCCCAGGCTGCCAGGGCCAGAGCCCACTGTTCTTGGGAAAGGCCTCTGAGCCTAGAGAGGGCGGAACAAGTCTCCAACTGGGGATCCCGGCTGCGGCCCGAGGGCAGCTCCATCCGTGTCCCCTGGATCGTGAACCAGCTCAGGGCAGAGTCTGCCCCAGACTCAGGGGGCCTGGACAGCCCCCCAGCTGCCCCTCCCCCCACTGGAGCAGCCAGGCCGCAGGGCGCCACCCCTCCCCTCCCCCAGGTGGGACAGGGAGAGTGGAGTTACGGAAGCCTGGGGGAGGGCGGTGTCATCCCCACAGCCCATTTCCGAACTCACGCAGCCTCTGGGGAGCTGGGATTTACAGGAGGCCCGGGCGGGTGGTGCAACCTTCCGGGAACAGCTGTGGGGCCAGGACCTTGGCCAGGCTCGGCCGCAGGCTCCCTGCACTCTCCCGAGGAACCGCAGACCTCCAGGGGCCAAGGGTGATGTCAGCCCACGGCCCACGTGGGACTATGGCCCTGCTGGCTCTGCGGGCTTGGCTCTGAGAGACTGGGAGGCGCTGCCAGCCCGGCAGCTGCCGCCCCTCCCCACCCCCTGGGGCCTGGGGCTTCCCTGGAGGCTGCGCTGGCCCAGAGGCCACAGGGGGAGGAGACCTTGTGGCCCCAGCTGCCTAAATGCAGAAACAGCTGGGCCCCGGTGGAGCTTCTCCTGGCCCCATCCTCCAGCCAGTCACTGCCCTGCACAGGGGAGCGCTTGGGGAGCCGGAGGATGCAGGGGGCTGGCAGGTGGCACTGGGGTGAGTCTGCAGCAGGCGGAGGGTAGGCTCTCCCAGGCACACAGCAGGTGCTCAGTCGTCGCATGAGGGAGCACATCCCCTTAGGAGCCAATCCCACCGCACTCATGGTGCAGTGAGCCCCCACCCCCAACGCAGGGGTCTCTAGGGTGGAAGGGTCCCTCCTCTTCTCGAACTGAGAGATTTTTTAGCCCAACTGGGATGGGAGGACCTGGTCAGGTCATTCTGAGGGGGCTGCCCAGGAGGGCAAGGGAACAGAGAGGCCAGTCTTAGTGTCCTCAGCCTTCAGGTCTGGGACTTTCCCGGGCCTTCCAGCTATGGCCAGTCACAGCTGGCAGTCTGGGGGCGGGGGTAGGTGAGAGGGGGAAGGGGGAGAGCCCACACCAGGCCTGGGCTGGGGCTTGAGATAGGTGCCGGGTCACCCCCAAGCCCAAGGGGCCTGAATATCCCAGCTGCGAAGTGCCCCCCGGGGAGCTGAGCTGGTTACTCTAAACCAAAGCCTGGGTGCCGGTGGTGGATGAGCGCTCTGGTCCCGGCCCTGTGCTGGGCAGCGGGGAGCGCTCGGCCGCCGGCTTGAAGCGCCCGGGAGGTGATTGAAGTTGGGGAAACAAAGAGGAGGCCGCTGACCCGGGAAGAGCTAGCCCGCCCGCCGAGGGCAGGGGCGCTGAGGGCTGGGGGCGCCCAGCGGGGGCGCAGGCCCGCCCGGACCGCAGCGGCGACCGGCGTGGGCGCAGGGTTTGCTGGGTTTCGGTGGCCTGGCCTGCGGCCAGCAGGTGTCCCCGGGAGGCCAGCCGGGCCCGGGGCCGAAGGGTTAAGCCGGCCCGCC